TGCTTTAACGAATTCTCAATTTGAGAATGGCTTCGATTGTTTTGCGATAACATAATATATAGTAGTAAAGGTTCAAGGGCGTGAGCGACTATGGCATCTTTATGTATCGATATCTCCGCCCGGTTAGTTTAGATTCAACGACACTATTGGCTCGTTCGAAAGGGCAGGCAGAGCGCATTTCAGGAAAATAAACTACATCACTCGGAAAATAGTTTCATTCTTTTTATTTAATTCTGAAAAATACTGCGCGGGCCACGGGTTGGACGACCCTGACATAGATGTTTAAGCATATTTTTAGGACTTTTCTGAAACGGAGGTCAATTATGAAAGTGCTAATTACATCCGACAAAACTTAACTTGAACAGTCTTACTTTATTGTTATATAACATGATAGGCGACAACAATGCATTTTGGAAAGAACTACACTGTATTTCCTTCCGGGTGTGTTACTTTACTAAATCTTACTATTTCCAAGACTATTTATACAATAGTAAGCAGCGATATCACGAGTGTTTACTCCACTCTGCGTTTCTTGAGGATGGTTGTTTATGCGTTATGAAAGGAATTACATACGAACCTTAAAACATGGCTCAGCTTTCAAAGCTTGAATACACCATATCGAAGAGGGGGGTCGTAACTCGACCTTCCGTGCAAAATAAATTGTTAAATTAACTGTGATTGTAGTGTGATATCGATGCATATTGTGAGGTCCCTCTGTGTTCCCTCAAATCCTGAAGGATTCTTCCTATACTTTATCATTGCAGATATTTGGTTTTACTATTCGCTTTTTTCTATTTTCGAAATGATACGTCAGTATAAATGTGGTACATACTATATTTATCGTGGTTATACTTAACCTATATCTGCTTTGGTGCCCCTGAAGTATATGCATCAAGATGGAGCACAACCTGAACATATTATTTGTATTAGGTTAGGGATTTAATCAAAATTAATGAAATCTATTTTGCGGTAAATGAAACAAATGGTTCTCCCTTCATTGGACACTGGGTAATGTTGTTTACATTTCTAACCCTGTAATATCAGCGTACAATATTTAATAAAAGTTTTCGGTGCCGTCATATACGCCTGCAATATCTTCGGTATAGCTTGAATAATCAACCATCAGGAATATCCTATTTGTTTTTCGAACTTTGACGGAACCATCGTAAGGCATATGATTGATTTTGTTAAAATAATTTTTCGAAATCGTTGGTTGAGGAAATCTTTTTTACTACACATATTCATTGCACTTATAGCTTTCTCTGTTCTATTAGATATATTTGGCGAAGAGATGGAAATGGTCAATCTATCTTGTATATTTATTTTCAACTGCTAAGTTTCACCCAAGTTGGTAATGAACAATTCTAATATTGGCGATATCAGATCAGCTTTACTAAATTTTTTTCATAAATAGCGGGATCGTGGAGATGAATCAAGAATAATAAAACAGTTTTACAATTGGGGTATCCACATTTTGCTCCGAGTAAAGATGTGGAAAAGCAGATATAGGCCTATTTAATTAAAATAAATATAAGAAACAGTACAATACACTTATATCAACGCTTCGACTGTAGCCATAGGTGAAATGTAAAACCACATTTATTTTAAATCTTCGCACAGCAAGACAATATACAAGTAGTGGCATGTCGTTTCTAAAATAGCGAAGGCTGCAGTATAGCATTACACTTCTCCCGTAAAGAGTCATAAAGCCTTTTACCTATTCGCTCAAAACAACTCACAAGACAAACAAACGCAAGGTTATTTTTTATTTGCCTTATTACCTCATAAGGGCTCAACAAACGATCGGTACGAAGCACTGATACGTTGTCTGTACACGCCGATAATTTCTATCACATAATACCGTCTTGTTGTTTTGAAGTAAATTGTATGTCTAATCAATTTTAAAATTATCCCCAATTAGGATATGTTTATTCAGACAAATTCATTTTCATCCGACATACAAAGCAATGTTGCTGGAACTTTACCATCACTTGGTATCACACTAAAATCACAGTAAATTTAACAATTTATTTTGCCCGAAAGTTTAATCTATAACTTCTCCTCTCCGTTTATGTTTATTCTGAGATACTGGGCTGTGTACTTAGGTGCAACGTAAATCCTATCGTAACGCATAATTACAGTCTTTATGAAATATATTGAGGAGTGAACACGCGTAATATCGCTGCTTACTAGTGTTATTGTCAGGAGCAATGGGGGACGTAAGCATTTTCCATATGTTAATCGAAAATATTTACACCAGGAATGAAATGCAGTGAAGTTTCTTTGAAAATGCATGGTTGTGCCCTCTCGTGTTGCATAACTAATAAGTAAAAAAAATCGTTACCTAGAGCTTAAGAGTTTATGTTAAAATTTATTTTAAAACAAGAAAAACTGGAGATACTCTTCACGAGTTTTTTTTTTTTAGACTTTTGCTCTGAACAAAGAAGAAGAAATGAGTAGAATATGCAGGTTTAGCGATGAAAGTGGCACTGACCATTTATTAAGCGCTTTATTGAAGCTCAGAACATGCCGAAAAAAGGAAGCGAGCACATTATAAATTTAAATAAAACTGTAACTGAATCTGTAGAGCAATAGCCAATATCAATAATCGGAAGCGGGAACAGCAACTCAATGATTTGAGCACATATTGAATTAACATAACCCCCATCTAAATCTTTATAGCAAAATTCAGTTTTTAACCTTTTATATCGTTCCTACTTTCCTAAGACGGCTAGTAAAATTTCAACATTTTGTTTTGACTTATTTCTTAATGAAATGTTTTTCAATAGTTTGGTTTCATTTATCTTGGCTTGAATTGATCGAGCTGTAGAATTAACACATTTGAGAGAAATCTGAAAATTGAGGAACCTACGAACCCTGTTAAACGAGATAGTGATAAGAGACCGCCGACTTACGGCGTGTATGCTTAGCTTCGACTCAATAGCGACACCGCGTGTCTCAGCCCTTATTAATTAATAACGCGCTAACTATACGACATAAGTCATCCAAAAGCAATAGGCTATGGTCCGAGGTATGATGAATGCACTTGCAAAATTTGGAGCAGATTCAACCTCCCTTTCGTGAGATATCGCGTGTATCTAACAGACAGTCAGAGAGCCAAACAAATAAACAGACAAATACCTATCAACCTACTACAGATCAAGATCGATGAGTAATCAGCATTGTTATGCAACCTTATCGCTTATCTGATTCTATGTATTCTACCCCGAAATTGTGAGATGTATGTTTGGCACTAATTTTAATAATTGTGTTTCGAATCAAAAATCTAAAAAAGTAAAATAGATGTAGTACTTTGTGTTGAATTTGTTCACTCTACGCGACCCCAAAATTTTGTTGTGTGTGCAACACACTCCCTTCCCACCGTGTTGTGCGGCCTCCAGTTTGGGAAGCTCTGATCCACATAACGCAAACAGTACAATACATTTATAAGAACGCTTCGACTGTGGCCAAAGGTGAAATGTAGAACCAAATTTATTTCATGTCTTCACACAGCAAGGCAGTAGACGAGCAGCTGAGCTTATTAATATAAAATTAGCGAGAACTGTAGTTTAATATTACAATTTTCTTGTAAAGAGTTATATAGCGTTTTACGTACTTGCTTAGAACAACACCAAAGACAAACAAACGCGAGGTTATTTTTTATCTGCATTATACCCTCATTGGCGCTCAACAAACAATCGGTACGAAGCACTGATACGTTGTCTGGGCACGCCAGTAATTTCTACCATATGATACGGACTTGTTGTTTTGGGGTGAATGCTTATGCAATTTCAAAATTTCAATTAGGATATGATTATTCAGACTAAGTTATTTTCGTCCGACATACAAATCAATAGTGCTAGAACTTTACCATTACTTGGTATCCGGGTATCGATTCCACACTACAATCTCAGTAAATTTACCAATTTATTTTGCACAAAATCTTAATTTATAACTAGCTCCTTTCCTCTACAGTTTATTCGAGAGCTGAAAAATATTTAATGTGTATTTAGGTGCAACATAGCACACAATTACAGTCGTTATGAAACACACGTATAATTTTTCTCATAAATTAAACAGAACAAAGAAAGAAATACCGTGAGGTCTCTGTATAAATGAATGGCTGTTATAAAATTAATAATTGATAAAAATCGCAAGCTTAGTAATCGGTAATTATTTCAATTCGAAACAAAAATTTGAAAATGTTCTGTTTTGACCCAACATGGGTAACAATATGTGCTATGGTTTTAAGCGCAGTTATTTGCAATATTCTGTCAAGAACAAAACTTCACACAGGACAGATTCTTTTGCAAAGCGCGAATGAAAAGCTGGTAGGCAGTTTGCGTTAATGATATGCTGATAAAACATAAATGAAACCCTTTCCCCTTGTTTTCAAAGTCCATTAAAATCATCATATTAGCAACAAATAAGTGCAATACGCTCGGATTGGGATTCACCGATTAGATCAGATGCTTGGTTATAAAGGTAATAACGGGCCCAAAATTTTCAGCCCGGCCCGACCCAGGCCCGTGGGCAAGAGCCCATTGCAAGAATTTAGTACAGTATGTGTCGTGTTGTCGAGGCAACTTCTGTTTTTTTGCAGACCACAGTCTCTCGTGGCCAAAACGCCTCAAAGTCAGCGATAGAAAAGCCCGACCCGATCCGAACGTAATGATTGACATTTCAGCCGGTTCGGGCTTCAGCTCTACTTGGTTATGTAAAATATTTCAGAAAAAGGGTGATCGGTAGCTTAATATAAAGTAGAGAGTAACATAAACTAAGTTTGCTTCTTTAATAGACATCTCTTAAAACAAACTAATAAGCACGTTTCTCTCTCCAGCCTTGTTCTGAGCAAAGAATGATTATTTGTAGTGAGAAAGTCATAACGAATTGTGTATTTCTTTGTTTAATTTTTTTCATTTCTTCTATTTAATGCTAACATTAACTTTCATTTTGATTGAAATATATTGCATTGGATAAGAAAAAGAACAAAAAAAAATACTGCTAATGGTACTGTCTCAACGCATTTAATCCTTTCTATAACTTGTGCGGTAACGAAGCCACACTTGTGAACTGTTATGGAAAGCCTCGGTGAAACAACAAAGCATGGAATTGAGGAAAGTGGCGATGAACCACCAGCTAAGATCAGATGTACTGATAGCAGCTTAACAAATACAGGTAAGAATTACTTAGTCTCTGCTGTAGGCAAAGGAGTTATAAATTTCTTAAGATCTTCCAAACTGATCTCCTATTTGTATATTAATACTTTAAATTCATAACGTAAACCATAACATCCTTAACTCTCTAATGTCACATCATGGCTAAAAGGTCAGTTGGGCGGAAGTAAACATTATCAAATACTCAGATTGTTTTTTGTTTTTTCAGATTCGATTAAACTCTCCGATTCCATTTTGCTGTTTCGAGATCGAAAAATTTCGAACCACGGTGACGTATATGAAGGACAAATATCGAGTGCAACTTATGGAACTCGTCCGATTGCAATAAAATTTGTTGAATACAACAAACAAAGTGTGGAAGAGGCAAAAATTCTTCTCTTACTGAACCCTCACACTCATGTAGTCTCTGTGATTCATTCAGATGAATACCAACAAGGTCCAATGAAATATATGTACATTGCAATGGACAAATGTAACCAAGATAACTTGAGAGGTTTTGTGGAAAATCGAAAGAAAGCCGAAATCCCATTCGATCCTGAACTTGCACTTGATTTTGCAAAACAGTTATTTGCTGGAACTTTATACATTCATGATAAACTCGTGGTGCATAAAGATCTTAAACCTGATAATGTATTTTTATCTCTGGATCAAAAAGTTGTCAAAATTGGTGATTTTGGCATAAGTGAAATCATCGAGTCCAAGACACAAACAGTTTACACCAGAAAAGGTCTCGGTACTGACGGTTACAGACCCCCTGAATCATTTGTGCCTGGATTTCCAACTTCTCAAAAAACTGACATATATTCACTGGCTGTCATTGTTTACTATATATGGAGTGACGGTAAACATCCTTTTGGTGACGAAAGGGATCTATGGAATCATTTCATGAAAAACCATAAAAACCTGGACCTGGATGGACTTTTAGTTCCAGACAAAGAAGTTGCAAAAGATTTACTGGAATGGATGCTGCAGTTTGTTCCTCGTAAACGTCCAATAATAAACGAAGTTCTCTCTCATAAATATATAGCTCCACCGAATGTAAAAGGTAAGAAAAAATTGATTGAAATGTAAATACCTGCGTATTTTGATGGTTGGTCAACTAGATGTGCTGGGGATCGGACCATTGACATATACATTGTAATTTAACTGCTATTTCTAATCTGCGCGTCGTGAAGTTTGCGATATTTTTTCATTTTATTTTTCCCTCAATAACTTATAGCTGTGGTTCACAACCTTTTCGTTATATTATTTTTTTTCCCTATTTGGAAACGTTTTCTTATAGTAAGGGGTTTTAGAGATACTGCCCTATTGCTAACTGAAATTAAACACTTATCAAAGAAAACTTTCTGTTCAGGTTCACTATTCCGAGATTTACAGGAAGAATTTGCACCTGGCAGGTCTCAAACAAGCATTCATGACGAACTTTTGCTTCCACATTTTAAAAATGGAACTTTCAAATCAGATTTGCCAACAAAAAAGAAAACTAAAAGGTTTGTGTATTTATTTTGCTGTATTATTTGATTATTACTCGTTTGCAGTTTTCATTCATAAATGTTCCCAACTTGCTTTTGCAAAAAGGCTGAGTTATAATTTTTATCAACGAGGAGAGGTAAGTCGATAAACGGCTTAATCATTTGGCATACCACTGCCTCTCGTTCAGTTAGCAGTCCATGTCGGGTATGGGATTAGTTAACCATTTATTTGTTTCAGATGCATGGGCTTTATAGTGGAGAAAGCCATGACCGACCGGTGGTTACATGTTACATGACCCCTATACAGCATTGAGAAGTCAGCAATTTGTTCGTTCTACTCGAATGTTCCTATTTACACATTCCAATAAACTTGGTTTCTAGCTTGCGAATTATCAAACAAGGGTATATATAGGTCGTAGGAAATCGACCCATATTTTATTTTCGCGGTAGCAAATAGAACCCTTGTCTATTGAGCCAGCCATGTTTTGTAATTGTTTCACAAATTGTGGCTGTCTCACAGATATTTTTCGTGAACAATATATTATAGATTTACCAAGAATAGTTCCCACTGCAGAAGTATTTTTTCGAATGAGGCAATACCAAATCTAAAATAAACATAAATTTAAAATGAGAATCCTGGTCACACTTATCCTTGATTAAGCATGTTGTTATGAATATATATTCTCGTTGGCATATGTAACATGGCTGTTATCATGCAGGGATGGACCGTAGCAATAGGTTATTAAAACTTATTAACAATCAAATAACTTTTCCTACAAAAACTAATCAATCTAATTTCAGTCATTCTTCACAAGTTGCAACTTCATTATCAAAGCTTGTTAACAATTTCCACTTTGCAAAATATCTTGAAGCCAAAGAAAAGAATAGAAAGGCAGCTCTGAACTCAAAAAGTAAGACAGGTTTATTTCAACATTCCTTGTATTGAAGCATATTAACTTTTTTTTTGCATTCGAATTTGACTCAAAAAGCTTTATCGGTTATCGGAATTTCATTATATTAGTTGAAAAAATCTCAGTAAAGTTTATTTAACGAATTTGCGTATTACCGTAAATGTTCGTGTCTGACGAACAAATCTGTGGAAAAATGTATTCTGTTATTTCGTCTACCGACAGTTAATTATTTGGGTTTGAGCTCATCCTCATAATTAAGTATTGGTTTCAAAGTGTTGCACCTACACCGCAATTATTTGCGTTCAATTATTCGCTCATTTGATTTATTTGAACACCTAATACGGATACTACATTTTTAACATAAAACAATGAGTGCATGGCTTTAATTTTCAAAATATAGTGGATTGCAAATTAAAGGTATTAGTGCTTAGCATTCGTATTTCTTCAATTTTTTCTAAATATTATGACATATTAAGCCAAACTAAAAGTGTTTTGAACTTTATACTTACAGTGACCATGCTTAAAATTGTCATTTGACCCACAAGGTTTATTATAAATTGTTTTTTAATTCAAATTAATTTTTCAAATGTGACATTTCCAGATCGCATACAACTCACTAATGACATCTTGTGGTATAAAGACAATGTGGTTATTGAATATCTGAGTTTACCAGTTTACGAAGGTCAACTGAAACTTCCAAATTCAGTTACAGAACCTTTAGCAATATGGGTGTGTTTTTCGTGGAATGTAGCTTTTCTTCACAAACTAGAAGCTCTTCAGCAACTTCCACCTCATCCAAACGTAATCTCTGTTATTGCTTATGGTCGTTTGGGGGAAACAGGTCGAATTTTTGTTGCTACTGAAAGATGCCAGTTTCAAACTCTTGATGAATATTATGAAGAGAGAAAGAAAAACAAAATCCCCTTCGATCCTAGACTTGCTCTAATACATGCGAAACAGTTAGTTGGTGGTCTACAACATCTGCATAAACATAATATTGCTCATTGGATATTTAAAATCGGTATTCTGTTTTCACTTGACATGCAAAATGTGAAAATTTGTTCGCATATTTATTTTTCAACTATTGTCTCCTCTAATCCCAGCTTTCAAAATGATATTTCATCTTTGGGTCACATCTTGTATAAATTATGGTCTAATAAACCGATTAACCGTAGGCCAATCTTAGATTCTACAGTAGCTATGGATCCAAGTGCTTTACTGATTCCTAACCCTCACTTGGCCTTTGATTTGATCACAAGAATGACACACAAAGATAAAGACCAACGACTAACAATTCAGCAGGTTGTTGATCATGAATTCTGGAAAAGTATCAACATTTAGTTTTTCTTTTCATTATTTATTTGTCTTGTGCGTGTTTTTTTATTTCTACAGACTAAGTCAAGTTTATTTTTTCCAACTAGTAAGAAACAGTCCTATAACAGTTTTAAAAAAAAAAAAGTTTTTTGATCAGAGTGATGGGTTTAGCCACTTTTGTTTAGACCAGTGATTCCCAGAGTGGGCGATATCGCCCTCCAGTGGCCGAAAACGATACAGAGGGGGAGGGGGGCAAAAAAGTCGAAGGGGGCGATAGGGAGGCGATTTCGCAAAACCTGTTTTTGGTCGGCGCATCGTGCACTTGATTACTGTACTCTGCGTGCTTTCGTACATTTAAATCACGTGGGCGATGTCACACGCGGAAGGATTGCTGGACTCGTCTTCGCAGTAAGGTACGGTGGTTTGCGTAACCAAGTGATCGGGAAATCTGGCCCGGGACGCTTCACTGAATGGATCTTTTCCCGACCCTTGACCCTGGCAATTTTCCCCATACTTTACCATTCCAAATATTCGATGTTTATTTTAAGAGTGGTTTCGCGAGTTGTTGCCTATAAAAGGAAGTATTTGTTTCAAACTAACATTCTGATTCATACCATTAAAAATTTTAGCCCTGTCTATCACAGCTTTTTCTACACTAATTTTTGATTACTGTAATTAAACTGAAACCCCTAGGAGGACAAGGTGTCACATTGACTTATTCTATTTAAATTTCCGAAAAACAACTAAAAACTAACGAATATAATTCAAAATCGCGAAAATTAGGTAATGTTCACGACCAAGCCTGAAAGTCTGTCTGAGTGAGGAATGTGTCTGAGCGGATGCGAAAGGGGGCATCGTTACGTTTATTTTTGCATCTTGCTGGTAAACATCCAAACAGCGGTTTTAACGATGAATTAATCTTATTTATTATCTACGCTCGAGGATTAAATTACATTTTTTTACGTAACAGAATTTATCGTGAGACACGTTTAGACTAAATTTTATTATATTCTAAAAACTATATTGAACAGCTACTCGCTCAACGAGCCTAAAATTTAATTATAATTAGACAATTGGAAACATGCAGAAAAGTTGATGTTATTGCACTGCAATAAGGAAATCAAACTCATATTCTATTCGAAAGATTCATCACTGCTTAATTTTTTTTAAGAATGTATCTTCTTAAAGAAAATCTTTATCAAAATTTCACAAACCATGCAAAAATATTCACTTCGATGTTTGGAAGTAGGCCTACATATTTGTGCGAACAATTATTTTTGAAAATGAACATCAGAAAGAACAAGCAAAGAATTAGGATTAGTGATGCTCATTCAGAAAATCTTCCAATCTTGGCGTCACATTAAATGTCATTGTGATAATTTTTCAATAAGACGACTGAGTGGAGTTCACGAATTGTCGCAGTTTTTGCACGATGTTCCGTTTTTAACATACAAAAAATATATGCGATCCGCAAAAGAATAGCAACCCTAAATTTTGTCCCGCGAGTGACTTGAAATTTGCCGACCCCTGAGCCATCCAAGTCCACGAATCCAAAACAAATGGCTGATTAATTCTATGGACTGGTGATCGGACTGGAGGACGTAGTAGGATGAGGAATGGGGGATGGATTTTACCGAAGACCGTTATATATTATGTATTTCGGTGAAGGTCATCAGGCTGTAGGGATAAATGAGATGTACCTAAATCATTATTATAAGTTTTGAAAAATTAATTTTGTTTTCATTATTTTAATGTGAAACGGGGTGAATTTAGGGAGTTAAATGCTATAAGGCAAGAGTACACGGCGGTTTTTGAGAAGGTAGAACCCTGGATTCTTTCATTTCCGACCTCTGATATGGTGAAAAAGGGGTTTTCAGCCGTGACACTATTGCTATCAGAATAACTAATTCGCCTTTCCATCAGTAAACGGGGTAATTTTAGATATAATAAGAAACTCGCTGAAGAACACCAAGCTCATCCATCTCAAAAACACTATAAACTATGATTTGTCTTCGTATTTGGTCTGTAATATATTCGTTTCAGACTTTCAATTTTTTTTGCAGTGCCGGGGGGTGATGAAGTTGTATAAACTACTGTAGGAGGGCAATGGTACAAAAAGATTGGAAACCACTGGTTCAGACTACTTAGCTCATTTTATTGAATATTTAACTAATCATCCAAACCACCCATTGTACCTGTAGTCTTCTCAACTTTGAATGGCCACCAGATCGACCATCTACTATTAAAGGCTAAAAATAAGTCATCGCGCACTGGTCGTTCGATAGCAGATTCGTCTTCCGAGAATCGTACTTTGATGGCTTGTATAACCTTAACCCCTGTTCGTAGAAAGTTAATTTAAGCTGCAGCGTGTAGACAAAAATTTCACATCACATTTCGTAAATTTTCCCACCCGCGTTTACCCATTTTCTTTCACTCTAACAACGAGACGAAAAAGTCGCAGTGCAGAAAACTAATATTTGCAGAATCATGAAAATGCAAATAAAAAATTACATCTGTGAAATAAATTATATTGTATGTGTACTATATATATTTCCTAGTAACGATCGATGAACATTCGCTTTTTGAAATAGATGACAGAAAATCTACTTAGTGTCACAGTTTAATAACAAAATTTGCAAAATAAAGGTAATTTTAAAATCCAGAATTTCACCTATTTGGTATTTTTTGTAAATTTACTATGACGTCATAGAGATGTTTAGCGTTTGTTTTTGTAAATTTATTTTACATCCATTCAAAGACTTTGACGACGAAAGGAAGAGCTTCTGTGAGTACTGGTTTTAAATTTAATATTTTGTCGCAACAGCACCTTCTTGGGTGAGCCACATGCCTAATAAAATTGGCTGAGTATTTGATAACTTAGTTAAACTTTGATCGTAGAAGCAATTAATGATGATGCTGTTTTTGCAACTGAGTGGTAATTCTTATTTCATTAATAAAGTAGAAGTTTCTATCTTCACGAAACTTTTTTTTTTCTGTAGTTTTCCTCACATAAGTAAGTTTGTGAGCCACAGAATTATTTACGCAACGGTAGTGAGCCACGGAAAAAAAAGGGTTGAGAACCACTGTTCTGAACTATGTAACCTAGCAGTGGCCGATTGTGCAAGCCCTGATCAAGCGAAATGCGCATTGTATCGCTATAAAAAATGCCGCTTCATCAGGCGGGCTCGTGTTTGATCAGCAAAAGTGAACAAAAGTTGTTTTAGACCAGAGATGCCTTCAGGGCGAGCGTTCATTTTTTTTTTGTCCGGGATAAACATTTTTTCCAATATGGAAGATTATAATACAGCTACCAATGTGTACCATATGTGCACCATACTTTCCGAAAACATATCAGCTTTCTTCCCTCCGGGATAAATTTGTGAATCCTATCAAGACTAGTTGTCACATAAACTGGCTTTCAACAGCAAAGGATCAAGCAATCTTAGTGTTCCCAAAATTGAATAACATAGTCTTTTTTAGGTTTAAGCTGTTGATGGGCGCCAGATGCTTCCAGTCACTACTTTGCTCCTGTTTTTTTATTGGCCTTAGCTGCTGCCTTGGTTTTTTTCACATTTCACATTCCCGACTCCAACAGCAATAGTCTGTCGCATGTCGCGGACAGCGAAACGACCAAGCGGAGGATAATTCTTGAACGCTTCGACACACATTGGTTTGCTTGGAACAAGTCTGACCATAGCTGCGTCACCAGATTTTAAATATTTTTGATTGAGCTCCCAGTACCTTACCAGATCTTCTGTCCATAGTCATAACAAAGGATCAAGCAATCTTAGTGTTCCCTAAAATTGAATAACATAGTCTTCATATAATTATTTGTCTGGAGCATAAGATATTAGACAGATTATTCTATAGTCACTAGGTTGAGTATGGGATTGTCTGGGGTTATCGGAAAGAAAGTCCTAAACGACTATTAGAACTAAAATTGAATAAACATTTTTATAGTGTTACTGGGAGCCGAAAGGAGGTTATTATCCCTATTCCTACCCACACGCACACCCTATTCCTCTGTTTTGCACCGCAATAGTTCATACCCGACTTGAATTGCGGAGGAAATGTTAAACTATCATTAGTTATGTAAATTTGCTTGCAATGCCGAACACAGCCAATACTAATTGACATTAAAATTGAGTTAATTTATCTCCTCATTTTAAACAGTATACTCGGCGATGTCTCGAACAAATATCAACATTACTTATGCTCCATTGAAGCGGAAGAGGGGGTACACAGACTTAACAAAACGTTATCATGGATATTTGGAGCCGAGTATTGTGTTTTCACTTGACATGCAAAATGTGAAAATTTGTTTCCAGACTTATTA